AGGATCCGAACCCACGACTTTCCGATCCGTGGGCAAGTTTCTAGCCGCTAAATCACAGTGGCTCCCCAATCTCTCTAAGTGGGCAAACCGTTTTATTTGATGTCTCTGTAAGTAATGAAGTACTGGGTCTGTGCCGACTTTTCCTCTTATGATCTCGTTCTTGATTTTCTCCTTTTGGGCACCCCTGCAGCTTTTCTCAGACATCTCATTTCCATGGTTACTAATTGTCTCTGTCAATCCCGCATTGCAGTGTGTTATTCTAGAATATCCCGCACTAGCCGGCACGCCGTCTGCGGGGATTCCCCCGTGGACCTGATGTTAACACATTCTACTTCCCTGACAAGAGAGCCGGGTATTTACGGCATGTCCTGCCATCATTTGCATGCAGAAACCCCCCAGCCCATCAATCATGCCACTTGCGGCCACCGGGATATTTTATTTTGCCATATTCCACCTATTGACCCCGCGAGTTGCCGCCGCATTCTCAAGCTGTTATCGGGTTGGACTCCTGCATATTCAGCTGGAGACATCGGCGTCGATACTCGGGTGCTGCATCATTTTGGGGCAGACCCTGTTTCTGAGTGTGGGGTGGGAGGGGTGAGTTCCTACTAGTTCCTGGGAGGGGGGTGGGCAGGGTGAGCCCCACGCTATAACACTTTTCGGTTCCTAATACGCTAGTCTCCCCACCGAATGTAGGTCAACTCCATTGATAAGTTTGTTTGACTTAGTCTACCCTGGTCGAGGTCATGGGTGTCTCAGTCTATTGTTGTCTTGCATTTACGTTTTTATTTCGAGGAAGAGTCAGCCTGTGACATAGGTTTCGTCACTCTTTAGGCGGGGGGGGGGGGGGGGGGGGTTGTGTTTAGACCCAGTATCTAAATGTTTTTGCAGTGTTAAAAGCTCTGGCATGTTGAAATATACAACACGCGATATCAGCGCCAGTGCGGAATAGCCCCCGTGACCTTCTGTGAAAGTTGCACAGGGCTAAGTTGTTGCCCGTGACTATGTATGGTCGTTCTCTGTTGAAGTGTGTATACGTCTCATATTTATTTCAAGTATCGGGTGTTTTCACTTGGGGCGGCACGCAGTATTTCTTTCACAATTCGGACAATAATAGGTTTAAGGTTTGAACAACGAATCAACGTGGCACACGGGTAGTAACCCATAAGTGCTCTGTTTTTCTTCTAACTCAAGTCTGAGGTCGAAGAAGCTCAGCACAGTGCACAGGCTCTGTAGCACCGGCGAGGATCCTGAAATTCTTTGAGTTGATTTTTAACCCCAAATCTTGCCCGGGCAGCGCCGTTAAGCTACTCTTTTTGATTTCCAACTGCCAAGAGATTTTGTTTTGTTTACGTGCGCAGCAATACATACGGGGTCCCATCTTCCTACCAAAGGCCAGGGGAAGTTACTAGATGTCCACGTGAAAAAATCCCAAGCTTGACTCAGGCCTGAACCCGGGACCTCCAGCACTCGAGGCGGACGCCATGCCTCTAGACCACTCAGTGCCCCGCTGTTAAAGGATTTGCTGTGTAGTTTCTCACAGTTTGGAGTAAAGCGTTGAAGAGCTCGAGACTCAGTTCTAAGGAGTTTCCTGCAGCATGATTTCTTTCAAACCATTAGCTCAAACGTATGATAACGTCATGCCGAGAGGGGGGGGGAGGGAGAGGGGAGAAGAGAGAGGGGAGAGATAGGGGAGAGAGAAAGATAGGGAGAGGGAGGGGAGAGAGGGAGGGGGAAAGAGAGAGGGGAGAGGGAGGGGGGAAGAGAGAGAGGGAGGGGGAAGAGAGAGGGGAGAGGGTGAGGAGAGAAAGAGAGAGGGGGAAGCGAGAGAGAGAGAGAGGGGGGGGGGGGGGGAGATTTCGTGCGTTGCTTGCCAAGACGAGAAGGACTTTCTGTAAAGAACCTGCTAACTTAGTGTGTCTTTCTGTCTGTGTCTGTGGCTATCTGTACATCTTTTTCTTAGTGTGTCTTTGTCTGTGTCTGTCTGTCTGTCTGTCTGTCTCTCTCTCTCTCTCTCTCTCTCTCTCTCTCTCTCTCTCTCTCTCTCTGTGTGGCTATCTGTACATCTTTTTCTTAGTGTGTCTTTGTCTGTGTCTGTCTGTCTGTCTCTCTCTCTCTCTGTGGCTATCTGTACATCTTTTTCTTAGTGTGTCTTTGTCTGATCTGTCTGTCTGCCTGTCTGTCTGTCTGTCTCTCTCTCTCTCTGTGGCTATCTGTACAACTTTTTCTTAGTGTGTCTGTGTCTGTCTGTGTCTCTATCTCTGTGGCTGTCTGACTACATTTGTCTCGGGTTTGCTCCTGTCAACATTTATCTACCTGTGCGTCTGGCTGCCAGTTTATTTCTGTCTGCCAGTATACTTCATTTATGTGTGCTTTATCCCGTCTTTACTGATGTCTCAACTCTTTGAAAATAGTTAATCACTCCCCCCCCCCCCCACCACCCAGCTGTCTTTGTTGTCTCTCCTATCTATCAAACCCTGTATCTTTCTGTCTGTCTATATTTATGTACGCCTGTCTCTCAGTGTACACGTAGTGTGTCCCCCCCCCCCCCCCTTTTCTCTATTTCCTCTTGCCCAGTAATCAGATAACGAACTGTCCTGTAAACTTATTTCTTTGGAAGGGATAAATAGACCGGCGCAGTCTCGGTGAAATACATTACATGCTTGTTACGTTTCAGTAACATTCTACTCTACATTACTACCATAACATTACTCTCAAAACTTTGCTATCATAACATCACATCACTATCAAAACATTACTATAATATTACTATCGCCTTTTTCATGTCCTTTATCTTCTCCTCTCTCTGTTTCTCTCGCTACTCGTCCCCCCCCCCCCCCCCCCCCTCTCGCTTACTGAGAATTGATTTTTGGCTGTTTGCGGTTTGGAAACATTACTACCATCAGTAGAGTGCCGTGTTGCATCAACATTACTACCATCAGTAGAGTGCCGTGTTGCATCAACATTACTACCATCAGTAGAGTGCCGTGTTGCATCAACATTACTACCATCAGTAGAGAGCAGTGTTGCATCAACATTACTACCATCAGTAGAGAGCAGTGTTGCATCAACATTACTACCATCAGTAGAGAGCAGTGTTGCATCAACATTACTACCATCAGTAGAGTGCAGTGTTGCATCAACATTACTACCATCAGTAGAGAGCAGTGTTGCATCAACATTACTACCATCAGTAGAGTGCCGTGTTGCATCAACATTACTACATCAGTAGAGTGCAGTGTTGCATCAACATTACTACCATCCGTAGAGTGCCGTGTTGCATCAACATTACTACCATCAGTAGAGTGCCGTGTTGCATCAACATTACTACCATCAGTAGAGTGCCGTGTTGCATCAACATTACTACCATCAGTAGAGTGCAGTGTTGCATCAACATTACTACCATCAGTAGAGTGCCGTGTTGCATCAACATTACTACCATCAGTAGAGTGCCGTGTTGCATCAACATTACTACCATCAGTAGAGTGCCGTGTTGCATCAACATTACTACCATCAGTAGAGTGCCGTGTTGCATCAACAGACAGATTTGACCCGTACACATGTGTCATGGAATAGTGACTTTGCAGTTTAGTCATGTCTGTCATAGACAGTCAGGCGAGGTAGGCGAATGAATAATATAAGATAGACAGACAGATGGGTGGATAGATGGACAGACAGCCACACAGACAAACAGACACAGACAGACAAACAGGTGGATGGATAGATAGACACACAGACAGATATACAGATGAATGGATGGATGGATAGACAGACAGAGAAACAGACATACAGATAGAGAAACAGATGGATGGATAGATAGACAGATAGACACACAGGCAGGCAAACCGATGAATGGATAGATAGATAGATAGATAGATAGATAGATAGATAGATAGATAGATAGATAGATAGATAGATAGATAGATAGATAGATAGATAGATAGATAGATAGATAGATAGATAGATAGATAGATAGATAGATAGATAGATAGATAGATAGATAGATAGATAGATAGATAGATAGATAGATAGATAGATAGATAGATAGATAGATAGATAGATAGATAGATAGATAGATAGATAGATAGATAGATAGATAGATAGATAGATAGATAGATAGATAGATAGATAGATAGATAGATAGATAGATAGATAGATAGATAGATAGATAGATAGATAGATAGATAGATAGATAGATAGATAGATAGATAGATAGATAGATAGATAGATAGATAGATAGATAGATAGATAGATAGATAGATAGATAGATAGATAGATAGATAGATAGATAGATAGATAGATAGATAGATAGATAGATAGATAGATAGATAGATAGATAGATAGATAGATAGATAGATAGATAGATAGATAGATAGATAGATAGATAGATAGATAGATAGATAGATAGATAGATAGATAGATAGATAGATAGATAGATAGATAGATAGATAGATAGATAGATAGATAGATAGATAGATAGATAGATAGTAGATAGATAGATAGATAGATAGATAGATAGATAGATAGATAGATAGATAGATAGATAGATAGATAGATAGATAGATAGATAGATAGATAGATAGATAGATAGATAGGTTATTAGGTAGACAGACAGACAGGCAGACAGACAGACAAATAGACAGACAGACAGACAGACAGATATCCAACCATTTGTTCGTCTGTCTGTGTGTTTGTCTATGGTAGATAAATGCTGACAAAAGCAAATCCGAGACAAATGTAGTGAGACAGCCACAGAGAGAGAGAGAGAGAGAGAGAGAGAGAGAGAGAGAGAGAGAGAGAGAGAGAGAGAGAGAGAGACAGACAGAGACAGAGATATAGACAGACAGACACACATACAAACAGATGTATGGATAGATAGACAGACAGACAGCCAGATTGACTGATTAGATAGATAGCTTAGATAGAGACATTGCTATGACGGAGGACAGGCAGGGAGAGAAGAGATAGGTATATAAATGGAGAGGCAAAGAGAGACCCACCATCATTTCCATGGAAATGGCCACCATGAGCCACGGGTTGAGGTGCTTGATACACGTAAAGGCGAAGTAGTAGGTCTTGCAGGCGGCGTCCGAGGAGTCCAGGATCCTCTTGCTGAGGCTGACCTTCACCAGCTCTTGGTACCTGCGGGGCAGGGAGAGACCACACTGACACCTGGGACACTCTTGTTTTATTTCTTTCTTAATATTGTTTTTCTTCCTAACTTTCTTTCTTTTGATGCTTGTTTTTGTTGCCCCATCTCTCTCCCATCCCCCCCCCTTTTTTGGTGTGCTTTTGATGATTTCATTCATTCATTCATTCTCTTGAGGCTTGCTTCGGCTGCCCCCCCCCCCCCAACCTATCTTTCTCAGGATTCTCTTTCTTTCTTTCTTTCTTTCTTTCTTTCTTTCTTTCTTTCTTTCTTTCTTTCTTTCTTTCTTTCTTTCTTTCTTTCTTTCTTTCTTTCTTTCATTTTTTTTTCTCCTGGGTTTGTTTATATTGCCTCTCTTCTCAGGATTTCATTCATTCATTCCTTCATTTGTTCATTCATTAAGACTTGTTTTTGCTGCCCCTGCTCTTCTCATGATTTCTTCTTTCTTTCTTTCTTTCTTTCTTTCTTTCTTTCTTTCTTTCTTTCTTTCTTTCTTTCTTTCTTTCTTTCTTTCTTTCTTTCTTTCTTTCTTTCTTTCTTTCTTTCTTTCTTTCTTTCTTTCTTTCTTTCTTTCTTTCTTTCTTTCTTTCTTTCTTTCTTTCTTTCTTTCTTTCTTTCTTTCTTTCTTTCTTTCTTTCTTTCTTTCTTTCTTTCTTTCTTTCTTGTCTTGTCTTTTAAGTGACCATATCACTCGAGATTTAGGGGAATCATATAGTATGGGGGGGGGGGGGGAACTTAGCCCCAATTTAGATTTTCTGGAGAGAAAGCAAAAGCGTGGGGGCGGAGGGGGAGGGGGCGCGGGGGGGGGGTTGTTGAGCCACCCAAATATTTGGTCGTCGGGGTGGGGCATGGTGCCTGGGGTTCCAAGATGTGGGCCCCCCAGTGACTGTGTATCAAGGGCTTCATTCAGTTGAAACAGACAGATGAGAACAACTGCTACATTGGACACATCTGCTGAAGACGGGCTCCACTAAACTGATATACGTGCAACGAATGGGGTCGATCGAATGCAGCAGAGATTAAACACAGATTTCCGGTGGGATCAATAGGGCTTGCAGGATGAATGCGCGGTTTTGAGAGGATTTGTTTTGTCTTTCACTGGGAAAGGGGGGGGGGGGGGGGGAGGATTCTGAGTGTCAGGAGTACAAGGCTATAACTTTATCATCATCATTTTCTTCTTCTTTTTCTGTGTCTTCTTCTTCTTCCTTTTCTTCTTCTTCTTCTTCTTCTTCTTCTTCTTCTTCTTCTTCTTCTTCTTCTTCTTCTTCTTCTTCTTCTTCTTCTTCTTCTTCTTCTTCATTTCCCCTTCCTCCTCCTCTTGTTCTTCCTCCTCCTTCTATGTCTGCTTCTTTTTCTTCTTCTCCTCCTCCTCCGTCTTCTGCTACTTTCTCCTCATTTAAATGGGCGGTTGGCACATTGTGCTGTGATTTACAGCTAGATTGCAATATCTGACCTTTCCGACCCAACACATCCGATTTCAACTAACCCTTATAAGGCGCTAGTTGTGACATCCGTAGAACAGCTACCAACGCAGGCGCTACGCGTGAACAGATCTGAAGTGAAAGCAAGAGGTCGCCGAAGAATAATATGGATTGATGACATTAAAGAGCTTCGGTGACGACACGGAATGACGGTAACAATTGCTGCCCATCAAGTAATGAATCGCAAACCGTTCCTTCCCGCAACGCTTAACGACAGAAGTGGAAACTGATGATGATGATGTTGTTATGACATTCTTGTTAAGGGGCGCTGAGTCTGTAAACACTCTGACGTAGGCGCACGGAGACATAAAAACGGTCATAGACTCACTGGTATAAACGTATGGGCATAGACACAGGGACATGGACACAAATGTCCACAAACAAGCATGGATACAGGCAACCTGAACAGGCAAACGGCATAGACCCGTGGGCGTAGACACTGAGGTAGAAGACACATTGGTGTATACACTGTGGCGTAGACACACAAGCGTAGACACGAGGCTTCAGACACACTGGCGTAGACGCAGGGCATAAACACGCGTGTAGACACACGGGCATGGACGTACGACCGTAGACACACGGATGTAGACACACGGACAGGCACATATTAGCGAAGACATGGACATGGGCATGGACATATGAGCGTAAAAACACGGAAATGGACATATGAGCCTCTGAAACACTGGCCTATACAAACCAGTGTAGACATACTGGCGTGGACGCACTGGCGTATGCACGGGCGTGGACAAACGAGCGTAGACACACGGGCCTGGACATATGATCGTGGACACACGGGCATAGACACGCGAAAGTTGACACACGGGTGTGGACACGGCCATAGACAAACAGACCACGGAGACGTACAGACATCGACTAACCAGGCATCCCCACACCGAATTAGCAGCAGCATTAGGTCGGTGCCCCCGAGACAGGCCAGGTAGAAGACCGTGGACCAGGCAGTCCGGCTGACACTAACCAGTACCGGGATGGCCAGCAGGTTGCCCACGATCCCCTGTAGCAGGAGGAACGGGTACAGCACCAGCGGCAGGTAGTGGACGAAAGGCAGGTCCTCGTCGCTGAAAGAAAACAACATAAATAAATTCAAATATGTCAGGTGTGGTTTAGCAGCAGCAGCAGCAAAATGAAAACAGTAAGTGAGAGAGGTACTTTGGGATGACCGCTGTGTTGGAGGACTAAGCACGCTTGGGGATGCACTGTGAGCAGCGACACCAACGTACTAACACAGTATTATCGCTTTTAGTGGGAACCATTGTGGTGGTGCTGCTAAACGTTCGCCTGCCGATCCGAAGGTCGTGGGTTCAGATTCTGGCAGAGCCGGACTTTTGTCCAAAAAAAAAAAAAAAAACATTGGCTCCTAGGTAGACCCAGCCGTACATGAGTACCAGGTAAAGTTCTGGGATGTACCGAATGGTCTATAAAATATAGGTCTAGCCCTGTATGCCCAACACTCTCGAGTGCGTGGGAATGGGTCGATTACATTACTTCACTGTTTCTGTCGGTAACCAACAACTGACCGTAGGTTTGTCCAGAGCTAGCTGTTCTTGTTGTCTGCTGTCACTACCGTTGTTGCGTTATCTGAAAATGTTGCGTAGTCTGAAAATGTTGCGTTATCTGAAAATGTTGCGTTATCTGAAAATGTTGCGTTATCTGAAAATGTTGCGTTATCTGAAAATGTTGCGTTTCCTGAAAATGTTGCAAATACCCTGGGCTGCCAGAATAACTAACAGTGATTGCTTGGAAATGGCTAATGAAAGTAGAACATTATATACAACAATGAGAAGGAAACAAAGTGCTTTGGTCATGTCATGAGAAAAAGAGCACTGGAAAATATCGTGACGACTGGAAAAATCACTGGTAGAAGAGGCAGAGGCAGACCAATAGAAGTGATGGTGGATGCTTGAAGACAGTGGCATGGAGGAATAGCATATGTGTAGTTGATCCAGAACACTAAAGACCGAGATCTGTGGAGATGCATGAACGCCTACGCCAGCTGACAAGGCACTTGATGATCAGAATCATTAGTCTCCCTGCCCCATAGTGTCTGTATTGAGCTGCCTCAGAACTCAGTATTTTTTGCTTTTAAGCGCTTCTCTTTGGGGTGTAAAGTGTTAAAGTAACTATCGCGTGTCGTTGAGTTAAGCATTACTTTTCTGTCCAAACCACTTTAGAGTAGGGGGGCTGCGTGGTCTCGAGGCATGGTGTCCGCCTCGAGTACTAGAGGTTTAGAGTTTAATTCCCGGTAAGAGCAGGGATTTTTTCACTTGGACTTGGACTTCTGGTAATTTCCCCTGGTCTCTGGGTAGAGAGGTCGGACGCCCGTGTGTATTGTTGCGCATGTAAACAAATCTCTTGGCAGTTTGAAATTAAAAAAAAAAAGTAACTAAACGCCGCTGCCCGTTTAAAATTTGGAGTTCAAAATCTACCCAAATTTGTTCAGGATCCTCGCCGGTGCTACAGAGCCTGTGTACCGTGCTGAGCTTCTTCGGCCTCCGGCTGGAGTTGGAAGAAGAACGGAGCACTTATGGGTTACTACTCGTACGCCATGGTGTTGGTCCGTTGTTCAAACCTCAAACCTCAAACCATTGCGTTTAGTATGACCGAAGTAACTTATTTAGTTTACGATATGCATTACCGTTTTTGTTGTTGTTGGAACCAGTTAGTTAGTTGCGTATCCTTTACAGGACGTTTGCAGAACTAACTCCAGCATATTTGAGCTGTTGTGGTTTTTCTAGGCAAGTTTACGTCCAGTAGTTTGCCATTGCTTCTGGACGGTCGGCTTCTCGATACCACTGTCGAAACCAACGCAAGGCCCGCAGCTGGGATCGAACCCGGCACCCCGGCATTACGAAGTGAGCTCGCAACGCCCAAGCCACAGATCGGTTGCCCCGACGGCTTCTAGCTCTACTTTTATTGTTTCTGAGTGACAGGGCTTTCAGTGGTGCGCTGTCTTGTGATACTCTTGTTGCATGTCAGAACCATTTGATCTGGCACTGACTGTGTCCCAAATTGTTCTCCGAAATCGTCCTTTCTAGTCCATCTATACAGTCATCGTTATGTAGCAGGTCCTTTGCAGAACGTCGCTCTCATCACGCTCTGCCTGAAAGAAACTCGGTCTCTCGCCAGCTCTCCCGCCTCATGTAATTTCATACCCAAGGAGTCACTTATATCATGTGCCCATCATCGTGTTGGTCGGTCCCTGCCCCTCCTTCCTGGTACCATGTCTTTTGCTATTATTTTTTTCTAGTCTGTCGTGGCGCTCGATATGACCAACATATTTCAGCTTCCGAGACATGATGCTGTTTATTCGCCAATCTTCCTTGATGTTCAGACCTTTCAAGATGTCAATATTTCTCCTGTTCTTTGTCCAAGATATTCTGAGAATCATTCTATAGCATTTCAGCTTAAAAGCCCTTATTCTCTTTCTTAAGAACTGGGAGATAGTCCACGACTCACTTCCGTATGTTGCTACAGGGAAGATGCATGCTCTCAAAATTCTAATTTTGATTTTCTTGCTGGTGCTTAACCATAAACTTTTAATGATTATACTGCGAAGGTTTCGACATAGGTATCGAGAAGCCGACCGTCGAGGTAATAATATTTACAATACTCTCCCGTAATTAAGGGGGAGAAAGTAAATTAAAAGATCAATGTTACGCTACGGGAGCAGCGGACATAAAATTATATATTCATGTCTTCAAAGTCCAGTCGGTTGTGAGTGGAAAATATGTCGGGAACTCTGGCGCCCAGTGGACTAAACTTCCAACATAGCTTCATCTAAATCCTAGGAGGCTGAACTGCCTACACAGTTTCATCTCATCCTCGAGTGATGGCCTCAGCATATTCCGAAGTTTTTTTTTTCCCCGGCCCACATGCATTGCCAGACTATTGTCTTGACATCGACCTGGCTGTCATGATATACGAAGATAAGTGATATCGAGCATTTGTGTAGTATTGAATAATCTATCTATGTGCTGAAGAAGGCTCCATAGCCGCAACTTTCACGTTTTGTTTGTCTTTGTTCGGTTTTATATCTTTCCCTGAGTGGATAATATAGCCAGCATCGCTGTGGCAGCCTTTACTTCCCAGGAGATTACCTAGTAACCATTTTAGGCTGGGTCGACCTATCAGCCAAGATTAGTTTAAAAAAAAAAAATGATTTGAACTATAAATCTACTTTTACATTGCTCACCCGAAATCGGAGTCGCACTCGTCGAATATACTGCTGAAAGCACTTCCGGTTCCGTTGCCAGCCACATGGTAAAGACGACTGTCGAAGTAGCCGTAGATGTCGCTGGGGTCGTTTCCGGTCCTGGATGTATGGGAGCGCCCCCTGGCTGGGCCGGCCACTGAAACAGCATAGTCAAGTATTGTTAGTATTCGTTTTAATAATGAAGAACTGATATAACTGCACTCGGAATGTTCTCACACTTGTACCAACTGCCTTCCCAGTAGCCACCGAAGAGTTCATTTGCTGATAGTACACCTTGCAGCCTGAGTCCGAAAAATATAGGCGCAGTGCACGAACTCCTTAGCACCGGCAAGGATCCTGAAATACTTTCGATAGATTTTTAACTTTAAATTTTGCCTGGACAGCACCGTTTAGCTACTCTTTTCGATTTCAAATGCCAATGGATTTTTTTTTTTCATGCGCAAGAAGACACACGGGCCTCCAATCTTACTACCCAGAGACCAGGGGAAATTACTAGAAGTCCAGGTGAAAAAAATCAAGCCTTTACCTGGGCCTGAACCCGGGATCTCCTGCACTCGAGGCGGACACCATGTATCGTTTTTACATTCCCCCTGCTGTGTTCCCAGGAATCTTCTCAGTTGTAACCAAGTTCTCGAGTGTTTTCTGTTTCATAACATACCCGAAAGACACCAACTATCTACCACTAAATTTGTTTTTAAATCTTCAAACAAAGAAAGAAAGATGGAAGGAAAAAGAATTGCGACATTATGTGGTTACTCAAGGTTATTGTATCTGACCTGTTTTTAACTCTCTTTGAAATTGAAGACAGATGCCGCCATTATGTGTTTCCATGAATCTTCCCAGATTCCCCGGGACACAACCATTATCTGGGTGTCTCTTTAAGCCGTAAGCTTCTGTGTATCGAATTGGTCATTTGGGGGTTTTCTTTTCCACTACGATATAGAGCAGTGGTTCTCAACCTGTCTAATATGGTGACCCTTAATTACAGTTTTTCGTGTTTTGTCGACGCACAACTGTACAATTATTTTCGTTTCTATTTGATAACTTCAATAAATATCTGTTTTGCGATGGTCTTTGGCTACCCCTGTGAAAATGTCGTTCCACCCCTCCCCCCCCCCCCTCACCACCAAAGGGTCGCGACCTACAGGTTTAAAACCACTGATATAAAGTGTTACAGAAAGGGGAATTGGCTAAACCAGCGTTGCGACTTAATTTGGAAGTCTAAGAATCAAAACGCAATCAAAAGGTGTTAGACGTGTTTTTGTTTGTTTGTTTGTTTGTTTATGTTTCAGGAACATTCTGAGTTTGTCGAATGGGTTTATGACAGGTCATTGAACTCAACAGTACAGTAGTACCGATAGAGAGTCTAATGATTGAAAGACTAATTCAGCGGGGGGAGGGCGAGGGCGGGTAGAGGTTCAATTAGGTTAGTTGTGTATCCTCCACAGGACGTTGCAGAACCAACCCCAACAGCGCCTGGCTATTGTGTGGTTTTTCTATGCAAATTTACGACCAGGACAGTCGGCTTTATTGATACCACTGTCGAAACCAACGCCAGGCGCATGGTCCCCAGCTGGGATCGAACCCGGCATCTCGGCATTACGAAAATTTCGCATCGACTTAGCCACAGAGCTGACAGAGGTTCAGTACTGAAGGGAAAACATAGGCGGACTTTCACCCATGATGCAACTGGTACCATTAGCTTGTCGACTCTTCCTTGTCAATTGGAGAAGGGGATGGAACACGGGTGGCAATGTTCCAAGTGTAGTAATGTCAGTCCTTGATTCATGCATTTAATCACTCACTCACTAATTCAACAGGCCAGTGTTCGAGTCTGGGTAGATGGATGCATGTATACTGAAACAGCGGCAGGCTGATTTCTTCTGCCACAACCATGTCTTGAAGATGGACTGTATCGGTAGCGTAACAACACCCCACACCTGTCTGTATTTTACCTGTTCATTCCCTTGGCATAACCTTAGCAGAAGACAGTATTTCACCCCTGTTTTGTTATCCTTTCTTGCTTTTCCTCCTCCCTCTCCCTCAAACCCGTGCCTTTCGCAGACAAGGCCTGAGATGTTATCTGCGGTTGTTGTAATAACGGCGCCAAGTCTTCGTTTGAGAGAAGCAGTAGAGCGCCGTCGACGGCTCACCGAGTTTCTCCAAAGCGACGTCAATGAGCTGAAACTTCTCGCACCAGTGGCGCTGTGATTCATGACTGTGTTCGCGTTGTGATGAGAATATAGGCGTTTTATTTGTTTTAGATGATAGAGGCTGTGGTGACAAGACAGATATGGTTTGATAGATGGTTGAGTAACGATGATTGGGGTAAATAGATGGATGTGTGGTTGGGTAGATGGTTAGATAGTTCGTTGGATGATTGACCAAGTTAGTGTGCTGTATGCTGGTTAATCATCATCATCATGTGCCCTGCCAACTTGCGATCCCTGGTTGCCTGGAACAGCTCTCTGGATGATATCCCTCCACGCCATCGTTTCAGCCCATCCAGCATCATCTCTCTTGATCTGCCTCTACCCCTTTTTCCACTGATCTTTCCAGTTGTCACGATGTTCTCCAATGTCTCTCTTCTCATTGTGTGGCGTATGCTGGTTGGATGGTTGTTGTGCTTGATTCTGGTTGGATAGATTATTTGTTGATATTTGCGTCAATGGTCAGTTAGTTGGTTGGTTTAATGATTGCATTTGTGGTTGTTTAGATGGTTTGATGGTTGGTTGTGTAATGGTTTTGATAATTTGTTAGGTAGAATTCATAAATAGCCCACATGATCGAAAGAGAGTCTAAATATATGAGAACAACATTCACCGAAATAGTAAATTGGATGAAGAAATTAACATTCAGTGCAGTAAAGCAAACCAAGAACTGAAACAAACCTCCCCCCCCCCCGCCCCCACCCCGCCTTCTTTATTTTTACTACATAAGACATTCTCGATAAGCCTTAACTTCTCATACAAAGTATATTCATCCCCACCATGTGCTACCAGTGCTAGAGATCGGTCGCTCACAACAAACTAGAGAATAAACTTAGTAACCATGGCTGTGAGATGTCTGAGAAGGACTTCAAGAGTGACCATAACATATACAATTAGGAGGTTTAAGGTTTGAACAATGGATAATCGTCTTGGCACACGGGTAGTAACCCACAAGTGCTCAGTTCTACTTCTAACTCAAGTCTCAGTCCGAGGTAAGTAAGCGCAGTGCACGGGCTCTAGTACCGACGAGGATCCTGAAATATCTTTGGTGGGTTTTTAACTCCAAATGTTTACATGGGAAACACATTTAGGCTGCTCTTTTCGATTTCCAACTGCCAAGGGATTTTTTTTTTTTTTTACGTGCGCAACAATACACAAATGAAGTCCTACAACAGAAAGTCGGCACCGAGCCAGTTCTAAATTACACACACAGTAAATCAAACGGTTAGCCTACTTAGAGAGAATACCTTTTGACTCTATACCGTATAAGGCATACACCAAAAGAAAAGAAGGACGTACAGCCCGAGGTAGACCAAGAACAAGATGGAAAGATAACATCAGAAAAACTCTACAACAGCACGATGTGTCTGTGGTTGAGGCGGCCAGACAAAGCAAGAAGCAAACGCTTATACCTCCCTCGATACCCGAAGCGATAAAAATACCAGGCGAAGGAGAAGTGGGCCAGCTCTTACAAGCGAGTTACAGTAAAACTCATGAGATGATCAATCATTTCCCTGGCAACTTTTTGTTGTGAGTCATAGAATCTTGTCGGCGTCTGTGACTTTGCGGCGAAGTTTTTCTGTTGAAATGTTAAATACTATTCTTAGAATACCATGGACCAGGAAGAAGAAAACATCGACATTCTATATGTACTGAACACCGGGGAGAATTGGCTCACAAACAGCATTCTGCTTAGATATTTTGGTTTAGGGAAAACTGTTGATGGAGGGTAGAGTTTCTGGAACGTGAGACAGAAGTCGCCCTCTGCAAAGGTGAATACACGACACTGAAGATGTACTAGCAGTGAAAGCATTTAGGGTTGGAGAAATAGCTAGAGATACACTTTCAGGCGTGCGGTTACCAGAGCGAGGTTCTGTAAAGAACCTATTGATTGATGATGATGATTATACTAGCTAACCTTTGTACTTCTTCAGTCGCCCAAAGCTATTTATCACTGCAGACTCCTCCAAAGTCGGAATACATCTATCTGAGAGGCGAAAAACTACAGTCTGTTAACAAATAAGCCAGATCTTTAAAACGAATGCGCACGCAACACCCAACCTCGGGAATATGACTAAAGTCCAGAAGTGGACGAACACTCAGAACTTTCCGCCGTAGTTTACAGGTGAAGAATTAGAAGAGTATTATTGTAGTGTGAACTCTTCTAAAATTAGGAAAAGTTTGGAGGCAACTGAGATGCGATTCTTGAGAAGAATGTTGCGAATACCTTGGACAGCCAGAATAACTAACAATGATTGGAAGTGGCTAATGAAAGTAGAACATTATATAGAACCATGGGGAGGGGACAAACAAAGTTCTTTGGTCATGTCATAAGAAAAGGAGCACTGGAAAATATCGTGACGACTAGAAAGATCACTAATAGAAGAGACAGAGGCAGACCAAGAAAAGCAATGGTAGATGGCTGAAGACGGAGGCATGGGGGAATATCATCAGTGGAGTTGGTTCAGAACACCAGCGACCGAGATCTGTGGAGGTGCATGATCGTTTACGCATGGCACTTGATGATGATGGTGAACCCTTCTGAGGATGCACGGTTATTATTTTAAAAACGCAATCACCTGGCGGAGAAACTGTTGCAGCACGAGCTGAAACCGGCCTGGTATTTAGATTAAGGTGAGAGCGGTTCCCAGAGTTCACCTTTCTTGACACGTCTGCTGAAAGACGGGCTCAGTTATTATTGCCTTTTTGCTGTTTTTCCCGTTACCACTTTCTTTCATAAGCCGATCTTGACGCAGTGATTCTCAAACAGTTTTCTTGCAGAGGCATCACACCTCCATGATAAGAATTGGCAGGGGTGTTCCGTGTCTGTTGTTAACTCATTATTTACCAAGAAACTCACCCTGCGTTTGTTGAATCCAATTTATATAATTTTCAGAAAATTAATTCAATGAACTGTAAAACTAAA